CCCTGGGGCCCGGGCCAACGGGTGAAGTAGCTGGCTCCTCGTCGCCGGCTGCGCTGCCCATCCTGGCGCGTCCTGGTCGGGTTGAGCGTTCCCGTGGGGGTGTGAAGCACTTGGAAGCAGTTGTGCTGTTGTCGTGCAGATGACGCGGGTGAAGGTGGCTGCCTGCAACCAGTACTCGACGTGCACGGAGTGCCTGGCCGCTGCTGATGCTTACTGCGGGTGGTGCACGATGGAGACCAGGTAGGGCTGGTGGTGTCCCAGTGCATGTCCTCTGTCCCTCAAGGCCAGCCAGGAATTTTGGGTGCCTTTTACATTTCTGCACAGTCGTGCCACCGTCAGTCTTTGTCCATTCCTTACGAAATACGTGCTTTTAAAGCCAATTCCATCTGGTCTCAAAGGGTTGGGATGCTCTTCAGAGCCAGGGTTTAACTGCGGCTGCCTTGTTACGCTGCAGTCAGCTGCCAGCGCAGGGAATATATTGCAGGCATCCAACCGTGGGACTGAGAGCGCCAACGCCCCGTTAAAGACCATCTTTTGCCCTTGCAATTATTATTTATGTGTAGGAGACGATCAACGCTCAAAAAGGGATTTACAAAATTAGACTCCGCGTTTGGAAGTTGAAGAAGTCAGACAAAAACGTCACCTTCTCCTCTTCGGTTCTGGGCTCAGCCTGCCTGCGCGCGCTTACCCTGAATCCCGAGGCTGCGCTGGCGCTGGGGGGAGTGGGCGCTCTCATCGTGGCAACCAGGCGCTTTAAATAGAGCAGCAAAGCTTTGGGCTTAGCCACATGGAGGGAGGAAAAAGGTGTGGGCACAGGATTTTCTCAGGATCTTCCCTCACACGGAAGTGAAGGTTTTAATCGCCTGTTTTAAAAATAATCACCCACGAATCGTTCCCCTGTTCCCTGCAGGTGTTCCCTGCAGCATGAGTGCATGAACTTCACAGGGGCCAACTTCTGGGCGAGCGCAAGCGAAGGAGTGCAGCAGTGCCCTTCCATGACCATCCTGGAGCCCGAGATTAACATCGACAAAGAGAACCCGGTGGGTCTGATGCGAGCGCCAAACGAACCGTGCGCAGCATCCCCGAGAGTCGTTACCTGCTGGCAGGGCTGATAAACGCCCACGCTCCTCTAGCACGGCTCTGCGCGGCTCGGGGGTGGGTCGTGGGGATGCCGGGCTCTGCCCTGTGCTACCGAGTCGGGCCAGAAGCACCTGGAGGTGACCCCCTGTGCCCTGACACCCTGGAAGCCGGGCGGACCTCAGCTGCTGAGCCCCTAGGTGGACAGGACTTGTGGTGCTGCCACGCCAGAGAGATGTATAAAACTCAAAATACAGAAGGCCAGCTGCAGACAGCTAAGAATCAGCTCGTTTTCTGGCTTTGTGTTGTTGCTATTTTTAACAATATTTTAATGATATTTTAAGTGCTTTCATCAAAATATTTTTTGTTTAAAGACAGCCGCTCTCCCAGTGGCAAACCCCTCCCTATGCCAAAGCTCTGGACCAGCGCTGGCATGGGGAGATGGCTGTAAGCAGGCGGCAGCCCAGCCCCGGGCTGGAGAGGGGGATCCCGTGGGAGCCTGGCAGCGGTCCCGCTCCGCTTCTGCCGCGCCGGCTGGGGGTCCCCGGGGAGTCACCCCCTGATGGCGGGGGGCTGCACATCTTCCTGAGGTGCCCCCTCTAAAGCCTTTCCCTTTGCAAAACTCCCCATCCTTTCCCCTCGGAGGCTGGTGGCAAGAAGCCACCCCTGTAGCCACCCTGCTCTGCCCCGGGGTAGGGATTAATGCTTTCTGCTGGTGCGAGCAGCGCGGGGCGAGGGCAGCGGGGAGGGCGCAGCTGGGTGTCCTGCGTCCTTCTGCTTCCAGCTGAACGGGAGGAAGAACTTCTTGACTGTGAGGTTGCCCGAGCCCTGGCCATGGGGGGCTGTGGAGTCTCCTTCTCTGGAGATATTCAACCCCCGCCTGGACGCTGTCCTGTGCCCCCTGCTCTGGGTGAGCCTGCTGGAGCAGGGGGGGGGACTGGGTGAGCTCTGGGGGGCCCTGCCAGCCCTGGCCGTGCTGGGATTCCTCCGCGCCGACTCCCCAAAAGCCCTGGGCTGGGTTTTCACGCCAGCCGGTAACTCCCCAGCGATGTTTGTCGGAGTCAGTGGTGACAGAGCTCTCACTGCTGAAGCCAGGGCTTGTACACGGGTGGCTTCCAGAGGTTAAAGTGCGCGGAACGAAAGGGAACGGCTCTGTGTGGCCTTGGGTTGGAGCCGTGAGCCTGTGAAAAGCTTGTAAAGCATAGACAAGTTCTCATTTCGTGTTGTAATAACTGGGTTTTTTTTTTGTCCAATTACAGGTCCTGATAATACAAATAAATGGGACTATCCCGAACCTGAACGGAACAAACATTTCCTGTGACTATGGAAGTAACATCCACACGGTGGCCAGAGTTGCTGGAGATGATGTAAACCAGTTTATTTATTGCAATTTACTTCCACGCGAGAGATATCCGACGTTTCCAGACGACCAAGGTGCGTAGAGAAGAACAAGCCTGGTTCATTCTAACCACTTTTGTGGACGTAGTTTTTAGTAGGCTTGGTTTCTTTCTCCATTGCATGTGCAGATAACGCATACAAGGGAGGGAAGACCCAGGCTGCTCCTGTTTTGTAGGTCACGCGACTTTAAAGTTCCACCATCCTGACATGAAATGACAGTATTTCCACCCTACCAGGTTTTGGTTTAAACACCAGAATTTAACAGCCAGTTCATGTACTTATTTTATTCAGATTTATCTGGCTGGCGCTTCTGCTTTAGATTTAGCGAGTACCGAACCAAAATGTTTTAGCCCTCAGGAAATAACATTGCGACTTATGTTGATATTTTCAATGGCTTTTGTTTAGTTTCCCCCCGAACACGCGCTGCCCCTCGGGAGAAGTTCTGGAAGAACTTCATCTCGTGTCTGCAACTAAAAGCCAGGCTGAGGCCGTCCAGTATCCCCCTGTTGCCGGGTGGTGCGCAGCGGGATGCCGGTCCCCAGGCGCCGCGGAGCTGCATCCCCGTCTCGGGGCTGATGAGCACCTGCAGACCCGGCCGCGCTCAGCCGAGCCGCGCGGGTCCGGCACGGGCCGCTCAGCGATGGGGACAGCCCCGTTTTGCCGCTGCTTCTGAGCCGCTGGGTGCCTCGTGCCCGACT